AGAACATTTGAAATGTTTCTGTTCCATATTTCCATCTGTATACATAACTGTTACTGAAATCAGTTTCAGCAGAAATGTATCCAAGGGTCACTTTCCAGTCTTCTTGGAAGATTTGATTTTGTCATCTTCTCCCGTGTCAATAGAAAGAGCTAATCTGGTCTTGTCTGTAATCTTCCATATTTAGAACCTCAAGTATCATTGGTTGACCTAAGCTAAGATGTGGCTTTATTTCCATATAATCAGTGTAACAGTCTGCTAAGCAGTCTCTCCAAAGCAATAAATAAATAAAATGAAAAAAGTGAATAAAATAAAAAACAAGCAAAAAAGAAATGTAAACAAAACCAAAATCAGAAAAGATAAAATTGTTCATCTGGTGCCACTGTACAGTTTCTCATTGTTTCAATTATGCCATCCTTCTTTGAACCTTGTGGACTGATGCTACAGATTCACAAACAAAGTACTTTAGCAAGTAACAGAAACCACATCATCTGAGGACTTTCAACAACAATAACTAAAATGATTTTGTTTGGTTTGTTTTATGGCATATCAACCTCAATGGGTCATTTAATGCTGACAAAATTTTTTATTGCTGGTGATATTTTGTTTTGTCAAAAATCTATTTCTGGTAATATTTTTCCTTCAAAAATGTATAGCTGGTAATATTTTTTTTCAAAAATGTATTGCTAGTAATATTTATTTTTTAAAAAACATTTCAAAAATGTATTTCTGGTAATAGTTTTTTTTTCTTCAAAACTTTATTGCTGGTAATAATTTTTTTACAAAGTATTTCTGGTATTAAAACCTATTTTTACACTTTCGTAGTGTTTTGACCCTAGTTTAGGAGTTAACTATTTGCCCATGGCTGGGACCCTAACAGGTGCTACCACCCTGGGTCAGGGTGGACCTGGGAACATCAGCAATTAAGGTGGTTCCATACTCCTGAAAACCTCATGATCAGAGGCCTTGCTTCTGATTGTAGTTTACTGTCTTATCCAGGACGTGGATGTAGTTAATCATCATACCCAGGATGGAATTAAAATGGATAGCATATGCAACTGGAAGAGAAGATAATAGTGTAATCATGATGTTAATATTATATGATGCTTCAAACAAAAAAGTAATAAGAAAGCCCATCAATACTGGAAAGAGCAATGACAGCTACTGGACTTGAGAAAGCTATTTTCCTGAAAAATTGTTTTCATAGAAAGATTTTATAAATTTAAACCAACAACAGCACTGGTTGCTTGGTCAATGAGTGCCAAATGTCACTTAAAAAACAACTAATATTGCCATTACCATTAACATAATTAGCATAGTATTTTGAAAACTTATGGTACATTAGAGCAAACATAATATGTAAGAAGGTGTCAAAGTGTAAAAATATGATTTTGAATTTTTTTTAATTTGGCATATATTTTCAAAATTATGGGCTATAATAAAAAAGTACTAAAATATTAAAAAGCACTATTTTTACCTTAGATTGTGAAGTAAGTTATTGTTATTCTGTAATAATATTTTAAGAGAGTAAAGATTCTCTCCCCTCCCCCCCAAATGATTACAGATCCTTTATTTTACTCTTAGCTCTATACATATAACAATCTGATGTTGAAATATAAATATATATATATATATATATATATATGATCATGCATCTCCAGTAAGGCACTAACACATTCAAATTTGGTATAAAGTACTGCACTTTTACATATGTCTTATCATATGTAAGACATATGATAGGACATATGTATTGTCTGACCAGAACATCAGTTTACTGTATTTCTGTCTACATGTGTAAAAAGAAGAAAAATGCCATGTCTCTCTAGGACAATGTTTTACAATCATTTTAAGCAATGGCACACTTTGCAGCAAATGAAAATAGCACAGCACACTTAGCAAAATTTTTAAAGTGTATGCATTTAAATTTTATGAAATAAAACCATAGATTTAAAAAAAAAAAATGTACTCACAAATATGAACTTACTTTATTTCAATGTTTCTATTCAACTATTTATGTAGCTTATTTAATGTGAAACCTGTGCCTAGTGTTTTTTTTATGATTTCTTCAATATTTGGTCGAACGTGTGATAAACAGACTCTCATTTCTTCTTCAGTTGTGCATAGTCTTTCTCACTTCTTATTTTTTATGCTGTTTACGGTTGAGAAGCATGTTATGATCCAGAATGATGACAATATTTCATCATTCTAAAAATAACCTTGCTATCAGTGATGATAAATAAAATAAGGATATTTCACCATTCTAAAAATAACCTTATCATCAGTGATGATAGAAAAGAAAGATATTTCATCATCCTTACCCTCATCATTATAAAAATGACCCTTCGACCATAAGAGAGTCAGTAGGGTAGAGGAGAATAGAGAGCAGTAGAGTAGACTAGGGTACCCATAGCAGTAGTCAGTAGATGAGTAGACAAGTAGCAGTATCAGTACAGAAACACATGTCTAGCCAGCACTCCATGAAGATCAAAAAAGGTGATTTCAAATGGCATGCTCAAAAACAAAATTCTTAGAACCAAACCAAGTAAGCACTGATTTTTAAACAAAAGAGACACTGAAAACATTTTTACACACACCATACCAATATTCTATAATTCACATCACAAAAAAAATACAATACTTCTTATTTATGTCAACACATGTCTCAAGTTTTTACTGTTGTTATTGTTGTATGTTTTATGCATTCTAATTCCTGTCATTTATAACAAACACCATTACAGTGGATCATGTTAGCGTCACCACTGGTTTAGAACTACTGCTCTAGGACATAATTAACTATGTCTCTCCACAGATTCTTTTTTTATGATCTGTGAATTGCCTTGCATTCTTGAGAAAGATAGTGGAGTGGGTTCGAAATTGTTTATGCAGTCTTTTTCCACTTTACAGCCTCTTTCCCCACAGACTCAGCATTACAAACCCACCATTACTTTATTGCTATTTCCATGGTAAATATTCAAATGAGATCCATTTTTTAGTTCCACTAGTTCAGACATTTACAGCTAGGACTCACTATACTACATCCATGGAGTCAAATCATCCACTTTTCCTCTGTATTCCATTTGTAAGGAGGAATTTCATCTCAAACAGCTTTTCCCTGAGAACTGCTACTTTGTGAAACAAACTCCCACATGAATGCTTTCCTAAACACTAAAATCCTAACCTCTTCAAGTCAAAAGCCAAACACTATTTATCTTCTTTTTCCTAATAATTTTCACTTCTTTCTACCACCTCTTACTTTTATATCACACACCTCATTAAGTAAGCCTCTACCATGGGTGGCTCTTGAGCCTTGTATTGGTATTGAGCAAAATTTATTATAAAAAAAAATGAAATATTGAAGACACTGTGGATTCACTTCATAGATGTATGAAATATGTGTATGTTTGTGACCGAAGGATGAGCTTTTTCCATATTTTTTTTATCTCTACCATCTGTCTGCAAAACATCAGTGTTGTTCTGCATATCCAAAAAATTTGGAGAGATTTCACTATTGATGTATCTAACATATCCCGGAGATCCAGACAGACTTAAATCCTTCCCAACACCCGAAGTAGCCAGGGATCAATAGTAATAAAAATAATTCATGTATATGCTAGTATTTGTGAATCTGTTCTCTTTGTAGGCATATAAAACTTGAAAACATCATATGGTAAGAAAATGAATTTTGGTGGGGCTGTAAAAGTTATGAATATGGCTGTTTTACTCTATGACTCATATTAAGCCAATCACTTTCTTTACCCTCAATAAGCTAGGCCTTTTGTCCATGCACTTCTTTCACTCAGAGAGAACAGAACCAAAAGCATTGAACTTGCAATATCAACATGGTATCTTATAAGTTGGACATTTGTTAAAGTAATTGATTCATACAGAATCCTGAAATAGTTCCACATGAAGAAATCCTTCAAGTAGAAATGAGCACTGTACAAACTTCAGCTAAATTATTTAGAACTAGCTGGACGTGTGGAAATTTCATGGGCGTAAATAACTATGACAAACCATTATCACATGTCTCTTCTCTAACTCTTTGCCTATATCTTTCACTCTCTCCCTTACCCCTTGCAATCTTTGTTGCTTGTCCTTGTTTGTACCTGAATGAGACACAAATATGCATAAAAGGAATAAAAATGCATAACTATATTCTAATACATTCTCTCTTTTATCTTTTGTTTTATTTCTCAAGAAAGAATTATGATATATTTTTATACTGTTGTATTCTTACCTGCCTTTCAATCTTTTGTTCAGTATCCTTTGATATTTTATCACATTATTTTTAGAGGATACCCATATTTGATTCTTTGTCTATTTATTAAACAGTATATTTGGTGGAGTAATGGATAGCAGCTCAAATTGAGGAATTGAAGAGCCAAGTTCAAATTCCATTTGAATCCATTACAATCACTTATGTGCTAATACCCTTGGGAAAGGTATGAACCCTCTTCTTCTCCCATCAGCTATGGGTAAATAGCAGGACAGACCTAGTTCTATAGCCTTGGACTAATGCATAAAAAAATGGCAACCTATTGTGGGGAAAAAATCTGCCTCGTCAGTCATGTATCGAAAGATACATGATTGCCTAAGCATGTATCACACATGGTATATAACTGATTGATATTTATTTTCATCTGAATATTTGTGAAATCTTGTTAAAGAAAAAGATGTGCCCTCCCTTATAAGGCACTATTTAACTTTTCTTAATTGGTGAGACTCTTTGTTGCCAAGTTGGTCAAAGGCACATCGGATCTAATGACGGTTTTTCCTTGTAAGGGGGATGCAGATTTGTATCCAGTCAGAGAGTGTATCTATTTCTTGAATATCCAAGTTCCAGGTTGGTAGATAAAAGTAAATAAATATACCATTTAATAAATATACCAGGCATCTACTGAAATATGGGCATCCACTAAAAATAATGTTTAAAGTGATAAAATCTATGGGATTAATAAATAAAAATTCATTACTTCTTTTGATATCTAAACACAAAGCAGATTACAGCCATATCACATGGAAACACTGGTTCCTGTATGATCACTAAAGTTAAATAACATTGAGCCTGGTCAGTACCTAGGTGGGTGATCACCTGGGAATACCAGGTGCTGTGAACTTGGATAGGCAGGTGGTGTAATCGATAATGACTTGGAACTGGAAATCGAATAGCTGAGTAATGAGTAACTACTGACACTGAGGTTCAAGTGTGACACACTGGACTTATGAATGTGTTTTCCACCAGTTGTATAAATAGTGGTGTCAGGAAACTGACTGGAATGATTATTGAATGACTATTGAGTGGAACTATCCTGTTGAATTAGTGAGAATTATTGTGCATCAATGAGTTTGGTTTTGATTTAGAATTTACTGGATGTTAAGCCGAGCTGCGCTACTAACAAGGTATTCACTGAAATGGTTAATTACCTTTGTTTGACTTTTACTTCTTTGTTCTTGTTAAGTATTTATTTGTGGTTGTAATTAAATACTGTTTTATTTAACATTGAAGTCATGAGTTATACTTAATTATTAATGGACACCATACATCACGAAAATTACCAGATACACACATCACATGCATACATTAAAAAGCCACATCTGTAATACCCATATCTGAGTATGGATCAAGTGATGACATTGCTTGAAATTGAGTTGCAGCCCTCATGTATGTATGTTAACCCTGTAGATACCAAGTGGAGCATAGGGCTTTTTTTTCATATTTTCATGTTTGTCCCTAAGTGTAGATGAAACTCATGGTTTAATGAACTAGAGTTTAACTCAATGATTTATCAATCAATTGACTTATCCTCTTGTGTATGCATATGCTAAATGCACATGTCTGTCTCTTCTCATTTGCCAAATTGTTTTCATTTGTAGTGCTTGTAAATTAATGGTTTAATGTCAGCAAGAAATCTGGATATGAACTACAAGCTGGAGATGTCAAAATCAAGCAAGAACAAAAATTTTAATATTTGGGACGTGTTTTAACAGATGATGGAAAATGTGACACTGAAATATGAAAGTCAACTGGAATAGCAAAAGATGCCTTCCAAAAGCTAAGCAATGTAATAAGAAGCAGAAAAATATCATTAGGATTAAAAGGCACATCTGTGCTGCCTATAAAGTTTGATCAAGTGATGACATTGCTTAAAATCAAGTTGCAGCCATCATGTATGTATATATGTATGAAAAACTGCACCCCAACACACACATGTGCACATTGGTGTGGAAGTTTGTTATCTATGTAATGACTGGTTAATGTAACATGCTAAATAATTGTTTGATGTTTTTGCTAACTTTCTTCTTAAACACACCATTATATTTTCTAGTTGTGCAACTGTCAAAAAACCTAACCATAAATCAGTTTGTCTTCAATTTGTATCATTAAAATAAAAGACTTTTTGTAGCAATGTCATTATTGTTAGTGGTTGTTTTAATCAATTCCAAGTCACTTCTTAAAATGTCTTGTAAAACATGTCATTCATAAAATTCTTGCAAATAAAATCTGTAATCTGCAGCTTCTATTTAAGCATGCTACTAGATTGTGAACTAGGTCTCATTATTTTACTGTTGAACTTGCTAGATGCAACTGTAAGTGCTATTCTAATAGTTTCTTTTCTTGCATTTCTCACCTGCAGAACTCTATTCCAATATCTTGCTTCCTTGCCACCTACAATCTTCAAAAATTTAAATGCAATACCAATTGCTATCTTCTGTCTTCCTGAAACCTGTTCTTTTATTGTATTTTTTCTTTATTAAAGTCTCTACATTTTCATTCACTCCCAGTAATCCCTTGCATTCTTACCATCCGTTGATGTGAATAATATACACATTGGAGTTTGGTTAAATAGAATATCAATTACAAGAAATAGCAGCTTAGTTGAACCAATTCTGCAAGAAAAGAATCAACTTTTGAAATCAGATTTTCCTTATTTGCAAATCCATTTTAAAACACCAAACTGCTATGTAATATCAATTCCTCTGTATGGGAGTGAATGCAGGATAATTTACTCACAGATGAAGAGGATACTTGTGGTAAGATAATGGTTAATCCTAGACTTGAAGAGGGTAAGATTGTAGTGATTGGGAAAACATTCTTCTGGGAGTCTGTTATGCAAACCAGTAGTTCTTGGGAAAAAAACTGTCTGAATAGAACTTCTTACTAATGGAATACAAAGGGAATGATTCACCCTTGTGTATGTGATATGGTCGGTCTCAATTTTAAAGGTTAGAGCTGGTGAGACCAAAGAATGTAGCTTGTCAGCTATAGAGCGGTGAGAAACAATTCATCACCCACAAACTTGCATAGATGCTTTTGAACTCTATAAAGACAGGCAAGTGAGGACATGGCAGCAATACTTCATTTTTGGTCTGATCTGGCTATTGTATAGATAGAGTATAGCAGTGGGGTAAGGGAGTCAGCTACTTACTGGAGTGGTACAATTAACCAACCATATTCCCAACATCTTTAGCAATAGCTTGTATAGATGAGTTCTTGTGATCTGGTGTGAGCTTGAGTCTTGCCTCCTCACAGGCTTGCAGTTTTTTGTGTCATGGAAAGGGGGTTGTAGGGTGGATAATAATTTATCACTCACAAGCCTGCATAAATGCTTTTGAACTCTATAAAGACAGGCAAGTAAGGACTGGGCAGCTCCAGCCCTGATATGGCAGCAATACTTCATTTTTGGTCTGATTTGGCTCTTGTAAAAATGGAGTATAGCAGGAGGAGTCAGATACATACTGGAGTGGCACAATTAACCAACCATTTTTCTAGCATTTCTTGTGATGGATCATATATATGAGTTCCACTTGAGATCTTGGGATAGCTTGAATCCCAATAGAAGTTTAAGGCAAAGAGCCTTCTTGAGAGAAGGCCAATTCATTATGATAGGTCAAAGTTCAGAGTCTGCTTGGTGGTGGTAGAATGTTGCTAGTTTGCTTTTGGACATTTTTTAATACACTCCTAAATTATGCTTATGTTTCAAGAAGTAAACACACACATATGCATGTAATGCCCACACAAAATTGATACATACACACTAATGTCATAAAATGAATAAATGTGATATCTACACAACCAATGAAAACAAACCAATATAAATTTTAAAAATCAAAACCACTCTATATTATTTTACTTTCAAAATTTCTGATGGAGCTAAATAAATAGTGAAACATGTCAAATTTACAAAAGTTTTCCTACTTGTTACTTATTTAATTATTCTGTTGGATTTAATCCATATTTTCAACATATTCACACAAAATATAAATACAACAACAACAAAAAAGCACCACTATTTAATTTATCAATTTAATTTAATTTATTTTAATTTACCAATGCAAAACACTTTTAATATCATGATATTCTCTAAAAAATAGAAAGAAACTTCCCACTAAAACCACATTAAGGGAAAAGTTATCTCACAGATAAACCAAACCACACACACACACACACACACACACACACACACACACACACACACACACACACACACACACACTAGTCACTTGACTGCCTCAATCCTTGGCAGAAAAAACAGACAATCTCCTCCTTGGTGGTGGATCTCAGGAGTTCTGGCATTGTCATGTCCATCCACTCTTTGATGCTGTCTGACCAGCTCTTGTGCTGTCATCTCTGCTTGCATCTGCCTTTAATAGTGCCTTTCAGATGGTCTTGCAGTGTGACATGGCTATCTTCCAATGCTATCTTCCATGCTTAAAAGTGGTGAGGAGAGAAAAAGTGGAGAGGAGAGATTCTTGTCAGCCCATGAGACTTTTAACCTTACTCCGTACATAGTCATTGGTTTTGTAGGAGATGTGGAGGAGCTTTCTCATCCATCTATTCTCAAATGCTTGGATTCTTTTTCCTGCCTGAACCTGGTGTGTCCAAGTCTCACACTCATAGGGGAGGATGGACAGCTTCACACATGCTGTAAGGACATCTCTACATACACACCTTCATTCACCCCTTTTGTATTTTTTGTGGTGTCAATGAACACTCATTACCACTTTTGTGATGTCAACAAGTACTCGTTATCACTTTTGTAATGCTCATTGTAGTAAAGACTTTGTAATCGCAGATACAACTATAGTACGCCATTGAATAAGTATTGTACTAATAGTACTTGTTTGATAATACTTGCTTGAATAGTAATCTGTATAGTGATCTGAATAGAGAAATAGTATAGTGAATAGAGTAGAAATGGTGATCCAGATAGTAATAGAGGATAGAATAGAAATAACAATCTGTATAGTATAGAGGATAGACTAGAATAGCGACCAATTAGATGTCATGCAACCTCCTACTTATACATTTCCTCTATGGTCACGTGGTCTACTTAATTCAATAATGGGATTGCCTGTGTTTGCTCACTGGTGATCTATGTTCAAACTCAAGTGTTGGCAGCAATATTTTATTCCTACATAACAGTATTCCTCATTTCATTTAGTTTTGCTTAGGCAATAAAATATGTTGTTAATTATCTAGAATTGCTTGTATATTCATTCTTACTTTCTTGTATGAAGAAATTCCATTCCATTCAGTATGCTGACTATACACTAAATATTTTTCAAGAACTTTCTGTATATCTATACAGATACTAATGTCACCGTGTTTGTAGGGGTGGAGTCAGGGAGTCATTAAGACAATAAGTAATTATTTGTATATCACTGAATATGAAATTCTAGAAACCATATATTTGTCTTTGAGTGGTGAAGCTGTAACTCAATACTTCACAGGGAAGTTTATAGAGTTAACAAAGCAAACATACATTTTAACTCATCTGTACAAATAAAAATGCAATGATAAAGCCACATGGCTACATATATTTCAACATAATTGCCATCACAATATACAAATATATTAGTTTATACATATAAATTCATACAGAGATTGTTAAATATACATATATTTATTAAACAATAATATATACAAACACTAACACATACACTGACATTTGGATAAGTGTCTACACAGACATGTATATGAATATATATATATATATATATATATATATATATATATATATATATATATATATAAAAATATGTACACATGTATAATAGAAAAACAAAAAGAATTAAAATTAATTAAAATGATTTTAGGAGTTACTCAATTAG